AAGGGGACCGAGGAGGAGAGTGGCGAGGTACTTACTGGCTATGGTAGACACCATCTTCATCTCCTTGCTAGGCGCTGCATCAGGAAGGCCCAGTGGGGGTAGTGCCGCATCAAGGCAGCTCGGACAGAGTCAGGCATGGCGGTTGAGTGGGCAGCGGCATAGCTGCTGGGCGATGACCTCGAAGTGGGCAGCGGTGTAGCTGCTTGGGGGTTGTCTTTGGTACCGGAGGCTGAAGCCTCGGTTGTCCGCCATAGCCTCGGCCTGTATGTGGAGGAAGGAGAAGGGCTGCCATGGCTATGGTGGACCTCACCTTATGCCGGCAGTAGAAGTGGGATTCGGACATTGATTCTGGTTCAGCTGTTCAACATTATTATTGTTTATTTATTGTTTGAATAAGAGAGGAGGAGATAAAGAGGAGGAGGTTGTTGAGCGAAGAAGAAGAGCTCTGTCTTTGGTCTACGCTGGAGTACATCTTCTCTCCTTCTTCTTCTTCTTTCCCTCTCTCTCCTCTCAAGTTTTTTCATTTCTTTTGCAATTGGACGGCATTGGGCTCAAGTTCATTCATTTCTTTTCGCAATTGGTCAACATTGTACTTTCTGATGATTGTGGACTTCAAAATTGGCCAGGATCGTAACAACCCACTAGTGTTAGTGGTGCTGATAAGAGCAGACACCACTAGCACCTGGGGAGAGGCTCCATCTATTGGTGGGGAGCGTCACCTGCTGGAAACCGGGTCCAGCGTCCCTTATACGTACTGAACTTAGAGTACATCCGGAAACAGTTATGAAGTATTCCTGCCAGCATTGATTACCCTGCGATTCAGGGGATTGACTGAGCAGGATAGTGGAAGGAGGGGGGGACCTCTTCGCCTTAAATCCGGCATCAGATGCACAGCTATATCCTAATTCCTCCCTCCCCTTAAGATGTATTGAGTCTGTACCTGCTGGAAATCGGGTCCAGCGTCCCATCGCCTGCTTTCACCTCCCCGAGGGCCCAGGGCCCAGTACCTGCTCTGAGATCTAGTCCTATCATCTTCTTCTGAGTAAGCTAGATCTGCCTCTTCAGCCCTTCTTTTGGGCCGCCTGTTGCTATTCATAGTCCCTAGCAGTCTAGCTATTGCTCACAAATCCATCACTCTCCCTCATACCATGCCTTGCTTACTAGACTATTTGCAGGGGGAGGGAAGAAGTCTGGGAATTGATCACTTGGCCGCAGTGGGATTGAATTGTCCAGCTTGGTCCAATCATTAAAGAGGAGTCTGTAGTCTCTGGTTATCTGCTTATTGTCCAGCACCTCCCCCTGCCCCTCTTTTCCTCCTTTCCATTCCACTTTCCCCAACCTCCCCCCCATTTCCCCCCCGAGCCAATCTTTGCAGAATATTTGTATCTTTTGCGTTATTTCGTTCTGAGTATGGATGTGTTTGATTTGCTGAATTTTCCTTTCTTTTTTTCTTTTTTTTTTGCAATCGTTGTGATTTGCAGGTGCGGCAAACACCTTTACATATTGCAGCCGCCATGGGGCGCACAGCAACGGTGGAGATGCTCCTGAAGAGGGGTGCAAATGTGGATGTTGAAGACGATGTGAGAGTGTATTCTTCACCACCAAAAGACTCATGGGTCCCTGACTCATATTCGCTGCTAGTGACACACACACACACACATTCTTTTGTGTGATATGCTTATCCAGTTGTTATCCCGTTCTTATCCGGTTTCTTATCTGGATCTTGTAAGGTTCTTCTTCGATTCTTTTCCCAGTTCTGATCTGGTTCTTATCTGGTTCTTATTTGTGTTTTATCTGGTTCTTATCCGGTTCTTATCCAGTTCTGTCCCGGTTCTGTTTCCAGTTCTGATCTGGTTCTCATTCGTTCTTATCCAGTTCTTATGCGGTTCTTATCCGTTTCTTGTTCGGTTCTTATCCGGTTCTGAGTCTTCTGACTCCGTTCTGATTCCGGTTCTGATCTGGTTCTCATTCATTCATATCCAGTTCTGATTTGTTCCTATCCGGTTCTTATGCGGTTCTTATCCGGTTCTGACTCGGTTCTGATTCGTTTTTGATCCGATTCTGTTTCCAGTTCTGATCTCGTTCTTATCCGGATCTTATCCGGTTCTTATACTGTTCTTGTCAGTTCTGATCGTGTTCTCTTTTTTTTTTTTTTTTTTTAATAGAACCAGTGTCTTTGCTAGGAGTGGTGGTACGAGCACTCCCTCCTAGCAAGAGTCCTGGGTGCTCCGGTCTATTGGTGGGGAGCAGCATCCTGTTCTTATCCTGTTCTGATTTGGTTCTGATCCGATTCTATTTCCAGTTCTGATGTGGTTCTTATCCGATTCTATTTCCAGTTCAGACTCTTCAGAGTTGGCTTTCACTCAACTTTGAGCATGTTTTGTGTAAGAGAGAGAGAGAGAGAGAGAGAGAGAGAGAGAGAGAGAGAGAGAGAGAGAGAGAGAGAGAGAGAGAGAGATGTTTAGAAGTGCACCTGGCCTCTGTCGGGGCCAGGTTCTCAGGTGGGTTGGTGCACCTTGTGCAGCAAACCACTCAGGTGCAGCAAACCAGCCAGGGAGCTGACTCTGAATCTGGCCAGGCTTAGGTGCATTGCTGAGGCTGGGCCTCAGCGGTAGCAGAATAACAAGGAAGGGGCTGGATACAAGGTGGCTTTACTCATGTTTGAACATGTTGTTATCTTTGCTTGCAGTTGCGACAAACACCTCTACATCTCGCTGCATCAAATGCTCAGATTGCGAGCCTGACAATTGAGACGCTGCTTAGATATGGAGCCAACAAGGATGCCAAGGATGATGTAAGATCCAAAAGCAACCCTAAACCCTAAACCCTAAACCTATCTGATACACCCTTGTAAAATCTTCTCCGTTTTTTATGGTCCCTTCCTCTCTTGCACACCATCCGTGGACCGTGGTATGCATCTCTGGAGTATGCAACTGCAGAGCTGTCTTTTTTTTTTTTTTTATGCTTGAGTAGTTCAAAGAGTTGGTGACAATACGCTGATGTTTGTAAGTTTGTACGCTGGAGTAGACTCCCACAGTTCCATTTGAGATGACTGGGTCTTCAGTGCCGACACCTCAGAGTATGCCCTCAGTAACTGGTTGAACTAACTACCTGTATGCTGTAGCAAGGCCCCCCCCCCCGCTCTCTCTCTCTCTCTCTCTCTCTCTCTCTCTCTCTCTCTCTCTCTCTCT